ACAAAGGTGAAGCTTTGGAGAAAACTAAAACTAAAAGGATACTTATAATTAATATTAGAAAGAGACAGTTGAAATTCCTAGGGCACATAAGAAAGAAAGAGGTCTTGGAAAATTCGATACTTACAGGACAGATTGAAGGCAAGAGGGACAGAGGAAACAACGCATGACCCGCTTAGTGAGCTTGAGTAAATGAATAGTGGAACACGGTTTAGGGAAGATAAGAAAAAGACAACATTTATTAAGAGCTACAAAGGACAGGAAATTGTGGAGAGCCATGAACGTCAACGTCCTTCAGGGACACGGCATATAGGAAGAAGTTAAATTTCTTTATACATAGACCACAATTTTTGGCATGTTTAAATAATTTTTGTAAATATCAAGATGTTTGTATTATCGTCACTTTAATGAAACTGTACAAATTTTGAATAATTGAGTTCTTTTTTTACATTATCTTAATCTGACATTCATTTATATAATCCAAAAACCTCCAGATAAAAAAAATGAGGACTGATGCCGAATATTTTATATTTAGATAATAAATTTCAGCAATTGTTTTCAGCAGCATTTAATATATTTGTAGCCGAATTCTACTGGGTTTCAAAACTGACCTATTTTAGTCCTAAATTTAAAAAAAATCCAGTCGTCTCGAAGCCAATTACTTCTTTTCCAATAATAATTTGACCCTGGTTCACCGAATGTCTGGTTTTAGTCGCACGATACTTATTAAATTCGCTTCTGACGAAAACGTTCTAAGGGAGGATACAGGCACTTGGGTAGATATTCACGTGAGAAATGACCGAGAATATGGCTAAAAATGATGTCTGAGACAATGACTAAGATGATTAACAGGAACATTGAACTATTTTGAACGTTTCAGATATTTTCATTTTTTTGCTTTTATTTTTATTTTTTTTTTTTTTTACAGGTGGATGGGAAGTAAATTGTTTGCGTGGAGAAGAAGGAATAGTTCTTCTGTGATTATCGAATTGAGCCAGTGGTTGAGGAAAAGAAAAACAACCTGTGTGTGAGTGTAATGTAGAAAACTGTTTGCTCGGAATGTGGGGAATAATATAAATAATGAAAACATTTTCCTGAAATAAGAAGAGGGAGAGAGGAGTTGATTGAGAAATATGCTAAAAATGAAGATATGAAGAGAAAGATAGAAAGTAAAAAAAATATGAAAAAAAGAAAACAGAATTAAGCGATCGTTCAAACATAAAGAAATGAAGGAAAGAAAGATGTGAAGATAGAGAAATGAAAGAAGAAATAAGAAGAAAAAAAGGGGAAATATTAAGAGAAAAAAATGAAAATGATAGACAGAGTTAAAGAACGAGAATGAAAAAATACATAAGAAATGTGGAGCGATACGAAGTTGAATAAAATGCATAGAGGAAAGTAGAAAAGAATGGCGGGAAACGGAAAGAAAGAAAAGATGTCAGAGAAGAAGAAGTAAGAAAATAAGAGAAGATGGAAGTTCAATAAAAACAGCGTGAAAAGGGCGACTGGAAGAAGCAATAAACGATAGAAATGTAAAGTAAATGAGTAAGTAGCAAAAAGGACAAGCTTCAGTTAAGTAAAGAATGAAGAGTATAGAGATTACAATGACAGACGGATAAGCAGGGACAGTGATTAGATAATAAGAAGTAAAAGAGAAAAAAAAACTGCGGTGAAAAGGCGGAAATAAAGAAAGAAAATGAAAAGAAAGAAACAAAATAAAGTAGTTATTTTCTAAGCGTAGCTTAGATGTGGCACAAGTCCGAAAGTATGGGGCACCCAATGAGGAACGAACTCACTACCCAGTTGTAACTGCTCTAGCGAGACAAGCTTGCTAACCATTACACCGCCTCGAGGTGCTAAGAAGCGCGCTAAAGTAAATAGAATAAAAACGACGGAAGAAGGAAAAAGGGAAAAGAATGATAGCAAGAAATAAAATTAATGGCAGTGTTAGAAAAAAGAAATATGAATATATATATATATATATATATATATATATATATATATATATATATATATACACACACATATATATATACACACACACACACATATATATATATACACATATATATATGTACATATATGTATACATATATATGAAAAGGCATAAATGTTTAAGAATATAAATGAAAAGACAGAAATAAAAGCTTTGTCTAATGACCATTATTGATTTGACTGATTGGCCAGTTTGATATTATTTACTTTAAATACGGAAATGACGTAATGCTTCTCATTAGTTCCTCTGACAATGATCTTTTATTAGCTGACACAATGAAGACGACAAGCAACAATTTTTCATTTAAGTTAATGAATGGCTTCAAAGTTTTCAGGAGAATTTATGTCAAAACAATAACTACTATCAAAATCATGTGATATATTTTCAAATATTTTATTTTCTGATTCAACCAGAGAAAAATATATAAAGCGATTTTTATACACAAATGTTTATTGATAAAATCTGGTGATTTAAATCATTTAAATTGTTTTTGAAGCCGAAATTCCAGATTTAGTCGGGATTAGAACAAACAAAATATTTGTGTCTGTTTTTCTGTTTCATGCAAAAAGTTTACTTTGTCATGAAATTGATATATCAAATTTTGCAAACTGTTTTATTCAAATGCGAGAATATATATATATATATATTATGGAAAAAATGGTAAGACCAATTTTACCCTTCATGAGAAAAAAAAAAAACAAGCAGTCAACAGGTTTCACCCTCATTCAATAGAACTCGAATCCGGGGAATAAATATCACAATATAAAATATAAAAGACATGTAATGTATTAAAGGCGGAACAGTCAGACTAAAATAACGTCATGTCCTAACAATCACTACCATTGTTTACAGAGGGAAGGCTGTCTGGACTTAATATAAATTGTTTCAAATATAAAAGTGAGCGAGAACGACTCAAGATGGTGAAAGAGCCGATACTGAAACTGATGGCACAATTTGTACTTTTTATGGAGTGCTCCGTAATGGCAGAACCATACTTATTGTTGACAACGTCTCTCTGGAAATATTGGAAGAGTTGCGTCAACACACACACACACACACACACACACGCACACACACACACACACACAATTCCCAGCATTACTCGTTCTTGCGCATGTGTAGTCGCGCCAAATTAACAAATTTATTTTTAGTAATAAAAAAGACGGTTGTACTGATAATCAACGCGTCAAAACGAATGAAACGCCGCCAGCGCCAAGGTATGCGATTAGAACATGTGTAATATGATGGTGATCATGCTTTATTTTGTAATTTATCTGTTAATTGATTAGTTACTAAGAGGAAGTAATCAAACAACTTTGTATAAATCTTTTGGTACTCTCCTATCATTCTGTTCATCCTCTGGGAGGAGGTTAGTAGTTAGCATACATATCTATCCTCATGCGTTTTAAGGGTCACAAGGTCGGTAGATTCTGAATATTTTTTCAGAATGTGTACATTAAGATGTTCATTGTCTGTAATAAAATGTTCCGCAAGGTCCGTTGTTGTCACATTGTTTTGTCTGACGTCATGTCTCTGGCCGCTGAATCTTTTATTTAATTTTTCCATTATGCAACCCACATAAATCAAATTGTGTCTGGTATATTGGCTGGCGTATATTAAATGGGAATCATTATAATTTCCACCTTCTGAAGAAATCGCGATGTTTCTCTTTGAATTTGTGATGGAATTAACATAACTCATGTACACAACAGACAGGGTTTTACCCTTTTGTGAGTAAAACAATGTTTTTTTCTTTTCTTAAATCACATTCTTCTCTAAGTGTTGAAAAATACTGTATCAATCATTTTGTTTAATAATAATAATAATAATAATAAGGTTTTTATCCATGTAATATATATATGTTTTATAATTCTTTTACACAAATTGCGCATTGAAAATGTCATGACGCCATTTCTGATCTTATTTCTCTGGTTGGGACCCGGAAGAAAATGAGTATACAGCAAAAACTGAAGGAAATAATAATAATAATAATAATAATAATAATAATAATAATTCAAACAGAAAAATCTAACAAAATATTGAAATTGTACTAGGTGTGGCTATCTCAGGATGAAACTGAAGATACGGAGAGGATTAATCAGTATCAAAACTACAAAAATAGAAGACTATAAAGGCGAAGGTTATTCCAATAATTATTGGAGCACATGGAATAGATTCAAAGAAGAATTATAGACAGATTATTTCTACGATAGCACATTACTGAAATCGGTGGAAATACTAAAAAAAGTGCTGGGCAGTTAAGTAAAGTATAAGCCTTGCATGTTAATATATACTACTAATGATAATTATTCCGGACTACAGATAGTCATATTAATAGATATTAAATAGATATATAGTAGATTTGTGCCAATATCTTAATCTTGTTTTTTAATCCAAGTACAGTTTCAAAATATTATAATTTCTATTGGTACAAATCAGGCAAATTGTTAAATTCACTGATCAGTGTACATAAGTAGTTTGCGTATTTTAAAAGTTTCATGTCCATTTAAGACACTCTACCACTTCGTCCCCAGTCCGTCAACCTCCGGCGTTTTCCTCGTTGGGTTGAGGTGACCACTCGGTCCGAACTGAACTTAGGGGTAACTGGCCGTACGCTCCATGAGTACCCGTAGATTATTTCGACCGGTCAACTGGTCAAGTCCTGCTCGCTGCCTACGCTGTGTTAGTTTTTAGATTCAGTAAGCGGGGTGTTGTTCATACATTCACGGTCGACTGGGGATGTGGACACGGCTGTGAGAGTTGGTGCTATGAAGTTTTAGAATGTGGCAAAATAAAACAAGAAATAATGTCTGCAGAAGCCAGACAACAATGGGGGAAATATTGACGTCTTTTATATAAGAAGATAACATCAGAACAGAGGTTACAGGGAGAATAAAAACATGTAACATAAATGAGAAAAGAAAAAGAAAAAATGCATCCAGCGAATTCCCAATAGAGAGAGGGTTTGTGTGTGATAAACGCGTTTTGAATTGCCTGGGGTAGGTTTATGACTAGTAGTCTCTCATACAGACTTCTCAGAACAGGGGGCAGTCTTCTCTCTTCCGTCTGGGTTGTAGCACCGCGACACGTAACGGTCGCCTGCGGGTGCTCACGCACGTGACGACGATGTGCCGACCGATCGCGGTCTCTCCCCTCTCTCTCTCTTCCGTCTGGCCTCTTCCGTCTCGCTCGACCGTCTGCTTCTTTTTCAGCATAACTATGCGTTTATATAGATAAATATGGTTGATCATGAATCGACCCTTCGCCCGGCACGCGATTATCATGAGTGCCAAAAACTATCCCTTGACATGTAAACCTATTCTCCAGTTATTTACCTTATCTCAATCACGAATTCTTCTCGCTTCACCAAAATTATACTTCGGGATATCTAAACACTGATTCAACCTTTTGATCAAAACAAATACTGTTAAACAAAACCAAGTATCTCACCCATCCCCATTGTTTACTAGTGACCCAGATTTAAAACATCACCTCCTGCCCTGAAATCGTATTTCCCATCGGTAAACAGACAAGCAATATGGCTTCCGCTTTGCCCGATCTACAGCTGATGTGCTTACGGCCATCACTGAAACTGTCTACCAAGCTCTTCAAAATAACGGGGAAGCTCGTGCCGTGGCCCTCGACAGCTCCAAAGCGTTTGATAGGGTTTGGCATGCCGGCCTTCTTCGCAAGCTCCAGGGTTATGGCATTCCGGGTCGATTGTTTGACCTAATACAATCATTCCTGTCAAACCGTGAATTGAAGGTCGTTCTCAACGGATTCTCCTCCGTTCCTATCCCACGAACGCAGGTGTTCCTCATGGCTCCATCCTAGGCCCCACTCTATTCCTTATCTACATAAATGACCTTCCTGACGCCATAAATTCCCAAGTTGGCATCTACGCGGATGACACCACAATTTATTCCTGCCTCAAAAACAAAGCTAGTGTCACTGACAAAACTAACCTGGTCGTGTGTCTCGAAAAGGACCTCCAATCGGTTGTGAACTGGGGCAGGAATTGGCTGGTCAACTTTTAATGCTTCAAAAACAATGCTCTCTAATGCTCTCTATTAATCATCACAGAGATCCTTCCCTGCTCTCCATTAGAATGTCTGACGCTCAACTTCTCGAGAGCACCTCTCTGCGGCTGCTCGGTCTCACGTTGACGGCTGACCTGAGATGGAACAAATACATTGAGTCATGGAAAGTTGGCTCCCTGTGCCGCGCCAGGAAATTTTTCTTCCCGGAAACGATCCTCCAGATCTACAAATCAACAATTCGGCCTTGCATGGAGTATTGCTGCCATATATGGTCTGGAGCCACTTCTGTTTGCCTCGGGGTTCTTGATAGGCTCCAGAGGCGGATATGCAATATAATTGGCCCTGCTCTGGCATCTCGTCTACAGTCAGTTTCTCAAAGACGCGCCGTCGTCTCTCTCTGTCTGTTTTACAAATACTTTCATGGCAATTGCTCCGAGGAGCTGCATTCGCTGGTTCCCAGACTTCATGAGTTCAAGCGCCCTACGAGGCTGACATCCCGCTCTCACCTCTTCACTGTCGAAACTCCTAAATGTAGCCGTCTCTTCTACTCCAATAGCTTCATGTCTCGCACCTCTCGCCTGTGGAACTCTCTTCTCTATTCCAGTATCCCTGAGAGCTATAATCTCCAGCTATTCAAATGTAATGTCAATCGACATCTCCAGTTGCCTTGATCTATCCACTACCCTTCTCCTCATCCTTTCTTCTATCACTCCTATCTGACCTTGCTCCAAATCTTCTGTAACCCCTTGCGTCCTAGTGGCTTCTCGCCTTGCTTGGGGTAAAACGCTTAAAAAAAAAACAAAAACAAAAACAAACAAACATCTTAACCCGAATTGTACTTTGAAATATAAACACCATTTCCACTTCCAGTCAATAAAAGTTATATTTGCATGTGTGCATTCATGTAGGTGTGTGTGTATACCTCTCTCTTACACACAAGCAATAATGGCTTTCCACAACTTCCTGTTTATTATCTGGGAATTGCTATAACTTGTTTGGAAAGATAATGGAATAGTTACAAATCATGACTCTCCACAGATTATTTCTTTATTATCCGTGAGTTGACACGATGCTTAGGATAACAGAAGTCATGTCACTTGAGAAATTTCAGCAACAACATCAAATAAAATGGACAACACATGTAACTTGTAGAGAAAATGACAAAATCAAGCTGTTTTCATTCCACACTACTTCAAATAAAAGGTTCGGAAGGAAACCCCCATCAATGCTGGAAAGGGCGATAGAAGTTATCCTGAAAATTTGTTTTAATAGAAAACATTTTTAAATTTTAAGCGACAGTAGCACTGGCTGCTCGCTAAATGAATGCCGAATGTTTATTTATAAGGAAAACGCTAATATTGCTATTACCATTACGCAATGGTTTCATGTTGCCTTCTTCACGGTTTCGAATTTAGCGTAGTCCTTCTCTTAGATTTGTTGCTAATCAAATCTAGATAACATAGTTTACCCTGCCATTTAGCCCATAGCGTTTGTGTATGGGGGAAGTGGTGGTTTGTGCTTTTCTTGTGGGTATGAGCGCAAAAGTGAATGCAATAGACTTGAACTCCGGTCAACGATTTCGCACTTAACATGCATCTTGTTCCCGTTTAAACCGTGTGTACCAGTGGCCTGTCTCAATTTAGAAATCTCATTTCACTCCAAAGTTTCGAAACTAACAAATTAATGAGTTTAAAACTTTTCTTCTGTCTTTTTCATCTCGTGTTTTTGACAATCAAATTAAAACCAATTGAACACGTCATCTACAAGACAAGCAGCGACAACTGAATTGAAAATGTGAGAAATAAATTTTTTCCACCATTTTTTCTTTTACTTTCTCTCTTTTATCATTTTTCTTCCATTCATTTGTCCTCAACGCATTTCTTCGTTTATTTCTTTTTAACCCTTTTATAATTTTTCATTCCAAAGATTGATAAAAAAATTAAAAAAAACAAAAAACAAATGAATTTTTCATTCTTTTCTTGTTTTTTTTTTTTTTTAATTCTGTCTTCGTTTTTCTTCATTCGTTCTTCATCTTTCTGCTTACTTTTCAATTTTTCTTTATGTGTATTCTTTCTTCTATTTTTCATTTTTTCACTTACGTCTCCATATCTTACAGGCATTTTTTCTTTTTCTTCATTTCATATTAATATCGTTTTGTATTTCGTTGAATTTTAAAATTCCTTTCTGTCCATGATTTTCATAAAACAATCCGTGATCTTTTTTTTTTTAATTCTGTCTATTTTCTAATTTTCTCTTTATTTCTACTTTCCTTCATTCTTTCTTTTAGTCATTCGCCACGAATGCTTATTTTCCTCATTTCTTTACATCCAACGAAGCGTTTTTCATGACGACAGCTTTTAAAGACATCGAAAAAAAAAAACACAAAAAGAACAACTTGGTTTTTCTTTTTTCTTTCTTTGTTATCTTCGTCTCTATGACACCTTTTATATGTCATCGTCATTTACGCCTTTCTTCAATCCCGACACTATTCAGCCCGACCCGTCAAAACCCCTGCCTCTTGCAGCCAACATCAGCAGACTTCTCGCTGATCCAAAGTCGTTTAATTGGTCTTAGCGTCACTAATTGCAACACGTATAATATGGCTTGTTAATTAAGAAAGGTATCAAGACCAATAACAGCGCGAGATAGTGAAAAGATATAACGTAAAAAGGAAAATGAAAAAATAAAAATAATAATAAGTGAACTATAACAATAAATTATGGCTTCACTACTAGCAATAACAGAAAAAGAAGAAATATTTGTTTTTCTTTTATTAGGGACACATTCAGGTGAAACACGAAGCTCATTTAGTAAATGTTTATGAATGAAAATGTTCACACTTATTTCTTTATAAATTGGTAAATGATAAATATTGCATTGCATTAGTCCTAGTTTTATTAGTTTTTAGATTGTTGTAAATAGTGTTAAAATGTTTTTGTTGTAAATTCTCAAGAACAAAAAATGATATAAAAATTCACTTTCATATGTTTAGGGTTTATTCCAATTCTAATCATCGCTTTTTGAAACAATAAACGTTGCGGGAAAAAAATCTGTCTCGTCAGTCATGTATCGAAAGATACATGATCGCCTAATCGTGTATCACGTATGGCACATAACTGACTGTTTTCTGCTTCTGAGGAAGCTATACTTTGACAGAACTAACACCATCTATAATTTCTGTCCCTACGTGAAACAATATATTATTATAAACAAAATATAAATTTGCATAATTTCTAATATGAAGAAAGAAAAAATGTATACGTTTATTAAAGAAAGAAAAATCTGCATCATACTTATTATAAAACCCAAGTTGTGTGTGTGTGTGTGTGTGTGTGTGTGTACGTTTATATATTGGATCAGATTTCCTACATTTTTCAACCGATTTCAACAAAACTTAACAGGACTACGTAAAATTACCTTGCAGTGGTTCTGACAGCGTCAAAAATTGGAAAAACACAATTGTTTTTGCACAAAATAAATTTGAAAACACGATTAAAAGGCATCGCTGTGAGAATGAAAGGGGGACAACTCATATCGAGTTATACTTATTATAAAACCCAGGTTGTTTGTTTGTGTGTGTGTGTGTTCGTTTATATATGGGATCGGATTTCCTACATTTTTCAACCGATTTCAACAAAACTTCACTTTTTTTTGGCAGGTAGTGTTTCTTATTGTCTTGCACAATTTTTTCTTTATTTTTACATTCAGAATGCTTTAAAAATTCCATTTACAAGACAATTATTTATAATAAAATTCTATTCAATCGGTAAACTCATAACGATTGAAAACAATGTTTTTGTTTGAGTTTGACCAATTCGTAAAAAAAAAAACTAATTAAGACATGCGTGTCCGTCAACCTTAAACAATAATCTTTGTCAATTTTATTTTTCAGTCTTTATGATGGTCGATACTTGATCTATCTCTTACTGTTACATCCCTGGGCAACGCCGGGATCTACTGCTAGTATTTACTATAAGTAAAAAAAAAATGCGTTTGTAAAAGAAAGAAAATTTTCTATGTTTTGTAAAAGAATGAAAAGTTTGAATGTTTTATAAAAGAAAGAAAAATGTCCATGTTTTATAAACGAGATATTTGCATGTTTTATAAAAGAAAGACATATTTATATATTTTATAAATAAAAGAGAAATTAGCTTGTTTTATAAAAGAAAGAAACATTTGCATGTGTGATAAAAGATTCAAAGGTAAAATATTATCTTGATTAAGAGATTAAAGCTTGATAAATGCAAATATTTTGTTTTGACATAATTTTGTTTATTCTAATTTACTTTATTTTAAATTATTTTATTTGTAATTCACAGTAAAATGACACTAATCGAAATAAATTTAGAATACAATGAATGTAGTATATTTTCATAGGTGTATAAAACATCGCATTAATTATAAAATTATTATTTACCGGTATTTTTATAGGAAACGATTAGTTATTACACATTTCTTACGCACCCATACACACTGCATATATTTCGCGAACAAAGATGTAGAAGGCTTCCCTCCAATTTTTACAGGCCCTCCCACAACATTCAGGACTATCCCTCAGGCTTGCACTAGTCGTTTTCAGGTGGAAAGCGGTGAGTGCATTACAGACTCCGCCTTTAAAATCAAGGGTTCATATTACATCGCTTAGTGAGGTGGGAGGTTGGCAGTAAGGTTTACTTAGGCGCGGGGCCATGGGTGATTTATTCAGTAGTCTTTCACAGGGTAGCCAGAACAAGAACTTCAACGTGCTCATTTTATATATGCTGTCGAGGATCTGGAAACAATTCAACTGCCAGTTTAGCCATCTGGCTTGGTGGGTATATAAAATAAGATTTAATTTTGGATTGTACTCACAATATTTGGATTGAACCAAAAGTATTTTGGACCGAACCAAATATATTTTGTGATCTTACTACATTTGACAAAAAAAAAGAAGGTATCTACACTGAATATTTTCCGCCTCGTACCACCTCGTGGCAACAATTCATTAAAATTTACGTATATATATATATATATATATATATATATATATATATATATATATATATATATATAAACGTGCAATCAATTTACAAATTCATGAATTATTCACACAAAAACAAATGCAAAGGTTAATGATTTAATTGCCGAGAAATCCATCGTCGCAAACAATTCAAATAATATACAACAAAACCTCCGAATCCGTTATGAATGAAAAGATCCTTGTTTCCATAAATTTCTGCCGCATTAGTTCTTATTTTTACTACAAGCTTTCGTCTGTTCCTACAGACATCTTCAGGTATGGAATAGATGTTGTTCTTGTTTTTTTCTCTTAGTAATAAGAGGACAAAAACAATAACTCATTTCCAATAGCATTTTCGGATACAACAATACATATATCCTCTTATTACTAAGAGAAAAAACAAGAACAACATCTATTCCAAAATGGATTCCAAAAAAAATTTCGCTTGAAGATGGAACAGAGCTTATTTTAACTCAATTTAATTTAAATAATTATATTGAAGTTTTCGGCTCTTGTTTTGAAAAATGAAACTTCTTATGTAGCGTTTTGGAATCATATTTTTAAATAAATAATTATATTTATGCTCTACTTTTGTATCGAGCACTATTTTAAAAAAATAATAACTAAAATACTAAGGGACTTTGGATTATTTACCTAACCAGTTCCTTCCTATTTTCTATATATTTTCACACACACACACACACACACACACATATATATATATATATATATATAGAGAGAGAGAGTTTACATGTGGCACAAAACAGAAAATATGGGGTACCCAGTAGAGGGCCGAACTTACTACTCAGTCGTAATTGTTCTAGCGTGACAAGCTTGCTAACCATTACACCACCTCGATAATAACACACGAGGACTGTCGTTCAGAGTTTCTGTGGCAAGTTTTTGCACCGTTACTTTTTTATCGGGAGATTCAAAAATGTGGATGGTGCGACACAAGCCTTCACCACTTGAAACAAATCATTGTGTTAGTTTTCTGACAACTACATCTAATTAGTTCCACATATATCCGGCTACTGCGAAAAACTCTACGAAACAATATCATCTTCATCGTGGCATTTGGAATGTACGAACTCTCCAGGACAACAACTCAGTACCAGAAAGAAAAACAGTTCTGGTCGCATTGGAACTAAGTAACCAGAAGTCGACTACATGAACCGAGAAAGCAAAATAAGACATCTAACAGTGTTTCTGCTTCACTTGGATAGAATACATTCGGATGTACTATTTGTGGTCTTTTGTGCAATTCTCGAACTGTTATCAAAAGTCATGCCCATCATAGGCATGCAGATAATTAGTTCGTGGTCGTCGGAGAGTCCATCATATATATATATATATATATATATATATATATATATATATATGGTGAATATACATAATATCCAACGTTGATAGCACGAGTTTCGTGCAAATCTGCAATCATCAGGTACTGAATACGACCCAATCATTAGGAGGTTAGCGTTCTCGTGGTGATGTTTTAAAATTGTGTGTTAAGACTTATTTATTCAACTTAGATATATAGTCTCGACCTATTGTTATATTAACACCGTGAATACTAGTTTATTCAATCAGACAGTACTTTAAATGTTATAACTATGGTATTTTATACAAAAACACAGTTATCCTCCTTGACACTTTACGCGTTTACTTAATTTTAAATTTTATTTAAAATAATTTTTAACTTTAAAATTTTTTAATTCTTCGTGTATGAACTTAAGAATTTGAACGATATAAATTATAAATAATTAATTATAAACTTTTTTAGGCAACAATAATTCAATAAACAGGTCTGGGTTGCTTGTAATAAGACTGGTAATATCAACGAGCAAGGCTTACGACAATACCAGGTTGAAACACCGGTTCTCGTACAATCATCGAAGTTAAGCAATGTCGTACCTGTGCAATAATTAGATGGGTGACCGCTTTGGAATACGAGGTACTGTAAACTTGGATATGTAAATGGTGTAATGGATAACAGCCAGAATCAGAAACTGGATTCGTTATATTCACTTAGGCGCAAATAGCCTTGGTATTAATCCACCTCTTGGGTGAATTATTTGCACTTCGTATTCGTAAAACATTATTATCTCTAAAAAATTTTTTACAATCTATAAATATTTTCTGGCTTTAAATAACCTGAAAATGCGTTGATAATCTGTAAAAAATCAAATAAATCAAACAATGAGCAATAATAAGTGAGCTAATATCACGGAACAAATGTTCAAAAATAGAAAAGGATATAAGACAAGGATACGTTTTCTCACCGGACTTATTCAACTTTTACAGCGAGACAATTCCAAGAGAACAAAAAATCCTACCAAGATTTACTATTGGCGGACACAGTCTTAACCATATATGATACAAAGATGATACTGTGTCGATGGCAGACGCAGAATGAAAACTGCAGAAACTCCTGAACAAGCCAGTAAAGGAAAGCGTGAAGGATGACTGACCACTAATTGTAAGAAGACAAAATATACGATCGTTAGCAAGAGGGTCAACCGAAGATACGAGCTATGAACCCGAGACTTCATAATTAAGCAGTTTCAAAAATGTAACTATCTGTGATGACTGAAAATGTTACAGAAATGCGAAGGTGCACTGAAATAACATGAAATACTTTCCAAAAGATATTTAAGAAACAGGAAAATTTCATTAGAAACAAAAAAAGATTACTGAAATGCTATGTAATATCAATTATCCTATATGGCAATTAATGCTTGGCATTTTCCCCCCAGAAAAAAAAGAGACTTCAGGCAGCATAGGTGTGTTTATACAGAAGGATGATGAGAATATAATGGAAGGTACATGTGAGCAACAAGGAAACTGTTATATCGGTTGACGCGGTAGTATTAAGGAAACCAAACAAGGAGATTCAATATTACAAAAAGCCTTTATTTACCCGTTAGTACATTTGAAGATATTGCTCAACAATTTAATTTGCTATAATTTGTAGCTACTTCCATAACTCTCGGACGAGTCTATTCAATATCCTTGGGGATATCCGAGATTTACCTTACTCCCCCAACCATTACCACTGAGTCAGATTGCGACACAAGGTCGGTTTTTAACATGAGGACCCGAGTGGAAATACTCGCGCCGCTGGTCTAACATGGTCAATGCTTGTCTAAGCTAGTCATAGCCATTCATACCACCGCGACGTAACAGATGTTATGCAACAGTAACGTAAGGAAGGAGAGAAAGCACGCAACAGATTCTACAACCACAGCATCTACTCTACGGAAAACACCCCCTTTCTCCTCCTCCTCTGCCAATCCCTCGGAAACAATCCGGAAGGAAAGCCCATCCTTAGGGATACCCAACAGAAATTTTTAGGAAATTTAAGTTTCTTGTATGCCTTCAACTACAGATAAAATGTATTGCGTGCCATTTTTTTTTTTTATAAATTTGTATTGTTGGTCATTTTACTATAAATATCTAATATTGGTCAATTTTTTATTTAAAAATGTATTGCTGGTATTGCTACTATAAAATTTATTTTTATACTTTCATAGTGTTTTGTTTTTGTTTCGGGGTTCATTATTTGCTCATAGTTGGGACCTTAACAGGTGTTACCACTTCGGGTCATAGTGGACCTAGGAAGAACAGCAATTAAGAGGTGGTCCATGTTTCCACGCTTTCAATTTCCGGATCAGAGGCCTTGCTGCCGGATGTAGTTTATCGTCATATACAGGAATAGACACTCATAGGACATATTGAAGGAAAGAGAAAAGGAAACATTGAGTAACCTGCCTAACGAGTTTAAGTAAACTGGTGATAGAACAGGTATTGAGGAGAACAGTTATGGGGCAAAACTGCAAAGCTGTGGTGAAGAATAATTGTTCGTGTCCCGAAGAAAATGCACGTAAAAGAAAAAAAAATATAACTGTAATTATCACAAGAACATATAGTTTTATTTCTGTTTTAGTGTCACCATCAACGCTATTCTTATGATAATTAATCTTATTAACATAATAAGCAATGCCATTTTTATGATATTAACGAAGAATTAACAAGGATTATATTATTGTTGACATCGTTATTAAAGTCATTATTAGAATTAACGTTTTTATTGACACCATCAGCTTATTCATACGCATCGCGTAGTAAATCATGCCAAAAATACCACCGTAGAAATGATAGATGAAGGCTAAGACGTTGGTGACCTCTTTGTTCCATGTCTTAGATTTAATCTAACCTTTCTACCATGTTTTTTGTTGTTGCCATGATTTACTACGTGATGCGTATGAATGAGTTGATGGTGCCAATAGAATAGAAGTTAAATAGGAAGAGAAAGAGAGGGGAAAAGAGTAAACTGATTATGAAAATAAAAAATATATTGGTAAAATTAATGCTGTGGGGAGTTTTAGAAAATGTTCTGGGTGAGAAAGACACATTCGCAACCACACCATAGAGAAATGCGGGGGATAAGAAATTCGAGCAAAAATGCGTGTTTAAGAATAAAGATACAAAGACATTAAGAAAAACAATTTAAGTTCTTTGTAAGAATCTAAAGGAAGAAAGATGAATAAAAAGAGAAAAATAAATTAGTTGATAAAGAGACAAATGTTCACAGAGCATCCGGTATTAAAAAAAAAAAAATGGAAATAAAACGTTGAAAATTATCGAATATTTTAAACAGAAAACTAGAGACTTTTAAGGAAAGAAAAAGAAGAAAGGATTAAAATGGAGAATGATTATCCCGTTGCATAAAGGCTGGGAAATAGAGACAGAAAATGAACACAACAAGCAACAAAAGTTGTGATAGAAAAGAATATAAAACCATTTGAACTATTTGAAAAAAAAAAAGCAAAAAGAAACGAAACGAAACTGAAGAAAAAAAAAAAAGAGGACGAGCAAAAATCATAAAAATAAGAAACGAAACAAAAGATGCAGAAATTTCGTATGAATAAAGAGTAAAAAAAAAAATGGATCCGTCTCGATTATTATATAGCATACACAATGCAGCTGGTTTTCCGGTTGAGTTGCTTTTTCTTTTAACAACTTAAAGCCGTCCATCTTTAAATACCAAACCCGTACTTAACTCCTGAGGAAGAAAAGCCATGCTGCGATGTGGTAATGGAATCCCCACCCTCTGAGAGAAGGATACTTTTTCCTTCATATTCAACGTCGTCTTCGTTGCTTTTAGTTTTAAAACCAGGGCAGCGCCGTGTAAATACTGGGCATCGCTCATTGTTAATTCAGCCCGGTTTTCTATAGGTTGAAAGTTTGTTACAACAAAATAAAGCGTAATGTGTTTATTTATTTATTTTAGAGCTCATAAAGAGTGAGAGAGAGAGAGAGAGTGAGAGAAAGAGTGAGAGAAAGAGGAAGATAAAGCGAGAGAAAGAAAAAGAAAAAGGAGAGAGATTAAAGAAGAGAAAAGAAGCGATTAGGGGTGAAATAATTCGCATATTTGCACTTTGCTAACAATTCTTGCTTTTCCGCTTTGTTTATACGCATTTTCAAATCCCCTTTTTATTCCTTATATTTTTTCTAGTCTTTCGTTATTTTTCTTTATTTGTAACCTTTCTCGAGATGTTTTCCTTTTTTTTCTCTTGGTATTGTTCTTAAACTTTGTTCTTCAGTCACTGGTGCTGAAAACATTATAATCACTATTTTTTTTCTTTTGCTTTTTCTTCATTTTATCTCCAATTGCTTTGAAATGCATCTGCGCATTTCTCTATATTTCAACCTCGACGCGTTTTATCTTTCCTTCGCATTTTCTAAGGAATATCTTTTGCGTATCTCTTTAATAATTAACTTTATTTCCCCAAAGCATTTTCTTTCTTTCAACAGATATATTTCTGAACCATTTCCTCAGAGATGAAGAGGAGATTGTGGCAACAGAGATGTAGTTAAAGAGAGGGATGCTATGACTATCGTGGGCAAAGCATGTGAGCATGTTTTAAGGAAAATAGGAACAAGAAGGACACATAATTTGAATCAGATAGAGACATTTGACATTTCTGAGACATATAACGAGGAAAGTTATCTTGGAGAATTTGGTACTCATGGGTCGTATTGAAGAGAAGAGGTCAAGATGGAAACAACGAGTAACCTTTCTAATGAGCTAATGTAAGCGGATGAAATATCAGAAAATAAGTGGAATAGTAAAATGTCAAATATTGCTAAGAGTTATAAAGATTAGGAAGTTGTGGAGAATAATGATCGCTCATGGCAAACCACATAGAAAATCTTTTTGCATAATTTAATGGCTCTTTCCAACTTCCTATCCGTTGTAACTCTTATTAAATTTCGTCTTTTCACAATCCGTTGCATTTCCTGTTTTGCCACTCATTTACAGAAGCTGCTCTCTCTTGCCTTCAATATGTCTTGTGAGTGTCAAATTCTCCAAGCCCCATTTCCTCATTATGTGCCCTAGGACTTTCAATTGCCTCTTTCTGATTCTAAGTATAATTGTCCTTTTTGTTTCTCATTTTCCTGAAAACTTACTCTTTGCTCATATGTTCCGTCTATAGTATTCTCAACAACTTTCTGCGGAAGCATATCTCTGAAGACCCCCCCCTTTTCATTTGTGAAGATAGGCCGTTTGAGAAAACAGGGTACTGTAAGCAATCTCTTACAATCATAAATATGTTCCGGCAATAGATAATCTACAGAGGGCTGATAAACTGTAAATCATATGTGAGGGAAATGCACAGCTTTCATGTGCAAATAAGAGAAGTGATATTAAATAGCAGTTCAATACTTTTCTTTGTTTCTCGCGAAAATTTCCTGTTTATTAATACTTTGCTTATCCTTTGGAAGGCATCTTCTGCTATTCCAAGTTGAGTGTTGTCACATATTCCGTCCTTTGTTAAAACACTTCCCAGACATTTAAATTTTCATATTTGCTTGATTTTGACATTTCCAGGTTGTAGTTCGCTTGTTGGGGTGACCCTTTTGCTGACAAAAAAGTCTTCTTACAATTGATGTCTAGTCTTTTACTTTTTTCTTTCTTTCTTTCTTTCTTTCTTTCTTTCTTAATTTTATTCTGTCTTAATTTTCTCCTTGTTATTTTTGTCACCGTATTACAAGCTTTCATCATTTCTTTTGAAGGTTTGCTTGCAGAATAAACGAGACGTTAACGCCTGAACATTTTTGTATGCATTAAGTCCTGTCCTTTCCCTTGATCCATTTATTATTCCTTCATTCAACCCGGTCGTCTATTCAGGCATCCATCCCGATTACCTATCGACTGTTGATCGCATGATACTTAATTTGTTTTTTGCTACAGAAGAGAAGAAACAGATGCACATTTTTTGATTATTTAGTGCGTACAAATGCATCTAAACGCATATGCATGTGCTAAAGCCTATATCTTCCCGTGCTATGCACATTTATATGAACGTGCATTTGACTTGTTTTACTTTGTGTCATATGCAAATTTGACTTCACAGATAATATCAGGTCTTTGGACTAGAAAATGTACATAAGTTATGGGGTTGGCGATTGCTTTGCTGTGGCTGCCGACGTTTTTGGCGCATCTTGCATCTTATTTATTAGGATTTTTTATTTTATTTTTCTTCGTTTTGTCTCTTGCCTGTTGGTTTTTTAACTTTTAATTCTCAAACTTTCAATCATAATATTTTCTTTCTCTTCTTATTCGTAAAAAATTGTTTCTTTCTTTTATAATTTGTCATCGTTTTAAACTATGTCTCCATTTTATACTTTGCCTTTCTTTTTTTATTTATTTTATACTTTTTCTTTCTTTCTTTCTTTCTTTCTTTCTTTCTTTTACACATTGTTATTTTATATTTTGTCTTTCTGTCTTCTTTAACACTTTTTCTTTCTTTCTTTCTTTCTTTCTTTCTTTCTTTCTTTTACACATTGTTATTTTATATTTTGTCATTCGGTCTTATTTTACACTTTCTTTCTTTCTTTCTTATTTATTTTACACGTTTTCTTTTTTCTTTTTTTATTTAATACTTTTTCATTTTCCCATCCTTCCTCCCTTTCTTTCTTTCTTTCTTTCTTTCTTTCTTTCTTTCTTTCTTTCTTTCTTCGGTCTTGCCATTCATTCATTCATTCATTCATTCATTCATTCATTCACACTTTTTATATAGTATTTTGTGTCCCTTATCCTTTACAATTATCTTACTTGAATATTTACCACTTTAAAAGCTTCATCCTACATTCTCCTCTCTCATTATCTATATTCTGTCTTTCTCTCTTTTTGCGTACATCGGTAAACACAAAAACCTTCCCCCGGCAACTACGACAAACGGTAGAATAAGAAGAAAAAGAAACTTTTTTTTTTTTTAATGTGAGAAAGAAACCTCAACAAAGAGCCAATAAGCTGGTTATTGGCATTGCTTTAAATTTATTGATAGATAAGTACCATGAATAATTTTGTTATCAACTTGATTCAATAAAAGCAGGCGTTCGGAAAAGCTCGCTCGCCAAGAGACACGAGCCAGCTTTAAAAGGTGGAGAGGTTCTTGTCAGAGGATTTTGTTGAAATTCAATAACTGACCGGAAAATATTGGAGAAGATGGAAAGAAAGAAAATCGGAAAATGGAAAACAAAATTACATTTAAATCTCCTTTTGTTCGGAATTTTTTTTCTTTTTAAGAACCCAAACCAGATTACTGTTATTGTTCTTTCAAGGATTATATACTTAAATTAGTTTCTAAAATGGAATCGAGGAGGTTGGGTGAGCCTAAAGTGAATAGTCATTGTGTGAAGCCGTGCCTAAAAGTTCTAGGCGGCTCTGTTATATAAATGACAAATGTTTTTAAAGTCTAATAACGGTGTGCAGCGCAAGACATTGGCGCTAACACAGGCGGCGGAGAAGTGCTTTTCTACTTGAACGATCCCTGATAAACAAGTCGACAGTCCTGTGACATCAAGAGGCTTTTATCTGCGCAACACTAAGTAAAACTATTGATTTTAAAATTGAAAAATGATCCTCTGTTATTACTTTATAGGTTTTATTTTTCTTTCTTTTAAAAGGAGAAACAAACAAACGAATAACAAAGCAAACAACCAATGAGAAAAAGAAAAAAGCTCATAGTTGATTCTATCGTGTGCTGAATCTCTTTTGATATCTTGGCCTTCAGATTTGAAAGCAGATTCAAGTCTGAAAATAAGCCAAATGAGTAACAATTACCTAAATATTGCCAAGCATATTTGTAAATCAAATATATCTGCTTACAACAGAAATCCGATCTATCTATCTATCTATCTATCTATCTATCTATCTATCTATCTATCTCAAATTTCATGATTGTCTGATATTCTCTCTATCACTTTCTATCTGTCTATCGCAATTTCGTCACATCTGTCTGTCTGTCAGTCTGCATCTATCTATCTATCTATCTATCTATCTATCTATCTATCTATCTATTGCAACTTCCCCATATGTCTCTGCCTAATAATCTCTTTCGTTCTCTCTCTCTCTCTCTCTCTCTCTAACTAGCTCTCGTAACTTCATGATATCTATCTATCTATCTATCTCAAATTTCATGATTGTCTGATAGTCTCTCTCTCACTTTCTATCTGTCTATCGCAATTTCGTCACATCTGTCTGTCTGTCTGTCTGCATCTATCTATCTATCTATCTATCTATCTATCTATCTATCTATCTATCTATTGCAACTTCCCCATATGTCTCTGCCTAATAATCTCTTTCGTTCTCTCTCTCTCTCTCTAACTAGCTCTCGTAACTTCATGATATCTATCTATCTATCTATCTATCTATCTATCTATCTATCTATCTATCTATCTATCTGCGGTCGTGCATTTATGCGTTTTTGTGCTCACGCCAATCGAATTTTATAGGTATATAAAAATTAACAAATAAAAGCCATTCGCAGCAGAAATTTCCTTTGGTTTATTAAGCAAAAACAGAAGACATTTTTTATACTTTTGACCTCATTTTTATGGATCGAAATATTTAGATAGTTCAACTATCTTCTGCAATCTTTCTGGAAGCGTCATAATTCGATCGTTCCAGTTCTCATCAAATAAAAAGAAGTACTGCTGCAGACTTTTGCCATCATTTTGAAAATTGAATATTTTAATCAAGAATACTCAAAATAAATGCTAATCCGAAAGGGCAATATCTGCCTAATATGACGAATGAATTAAGACCTTCCTGTTAAGCTGTAAAAGTGAAAAAGTGTCAAAAGTCGTAAAAAATACGCGGCTAAGCGTTTTTTTTTTCAAAACTTAATATTACATATTTTCTGTTAAATAACCATATAAAATTTTTGTTGACTACCGGGATTCGAATGAATATCTTCGTTCCCCAGAACCCTATAGTAGAGAACTCCCTTTTTATCTCAGAATATACACAAAATTTCTTTGGATGAAATCCGAAATGTGGCACTGTTATGGATGGTTCATTTTGATAGTTCCGATATCTTGATTTCCTCATCCACTTTTCATAGCTAATAGTAATTTCTTTAAAAAACGAAACATTTTTATTACATTTACATAGCGAATCGCACTCGAAAGTCACACATCAAAGTGGCTAATATAACAAAATTGGTGAACATTATTTTTAATTCTCGATTTTGTATATGACGCTGATGATTCCCAAGTAATGTCTTGATATTGTTTATTTCAACTAATCTATGCAACTATTTTCACTGGCAACATCTCCAATACAATAGGTTACAAATTACTTTTGACACTCCAATCAACTGTAATTTTACAGACAATTCTTGTCAGAGATATCTGGTTACGATCATACAAGTGCACGGTAAGGCCGTCCATCATTGAAGGATATCAAATTGTCTCCCCAATTTCAGAAATGGTACATGCTATCCGCCTAGCATCCACTATCATGTTTTTTTCGAACTCCGATAATTCGTGTCGCCTTACCATGAGCAGCCTCTCTGGTGTTCACACTGACGCACCTGATGTAAGAGCACAACTCATATAGGTTTGGGAATGTTGTCAAAATACAGTGACACCAGATGTTATTACCTTTACAAACTGCTAACCTATATATTTTGTCAAAATGATATACAAATCAACAAAATTAGTATAATGTTTCTAGCCGGGATAATAAAAACATTAATTATTTTAACTAATATACGAGGGTCAGCCTTGCAGTATGATTTATTATATAAGAAGTAAGAAATACAATCAAACATATCATACATCACAGGTTCACATCCCCACTTCTCATCATAGTCATCACCTCAGTCAATGGCAGCATTCCACCTAAGAAAGAGACTATTAATTCCAGATTTGTTAAAATTCGGCTGGCTGCTGATGTAAGCAATTTCTTTCGACGGTTTCCACTTCTTCGTCACCATTTGGCTTATCACTCTCAGACTTCAGTCTCTTTCGTCCAATGAAAGAGACACTGAGGGACCAACGTTATGGTAGTAATAAAGAAGTGAAAACTGGCGGAAGGAATAGCCAGCAGAATTTTACGAAACTGGGATACATGCCCTCATTCGTAGGTAGAACACTGTCATTGAAAACGGTGATAACTATGTTGAGTAGTGGGGATGTGAACCTGTGATGTATAGTTATATACTGATGTACAATATGTTTGATTGTCTTCCTTATTTATAACATAATAAAACAAATTACTTTACTTTTCGACTCACTCTTGTATTTAAGTTGCTGGTCATTAATCTTGCAATGTGAAATTTCGAGTTTAGTTACGGCAATTTCCTTGCTGAGAAAAGATATATTGATAATCAGTTCATGATCAGTTTAGTATTCATCTAAAGTATCAAAGGTTACATACCATTCACATAAGTACATACGCAGTCGATACAATTATTTATTTAAAAATCTAGATCTGTGCATGGAGTTTGAACTCCGACCGACCTTGCTCGCAAAGCTCAATAGAAAAGAAATTGGCTTTTAACATTCAGTAACCTCCAAAGTTAAACTCGTAACTTTTCATCAGCACAGAACAAACCTTTAGTATGCTTTAGTCTTTAACAAATGGACTCTCAGAGAGGCTCTTTGCCCGAACGACTTTGACTCGGGCTCACTCTAGAGCTCAAATGAAACAAGTACGTTCCATCCATCACTAAAGAAAATGGAATAAATGGTCGGTTCTTTGTACCTATTCAGAAAGTACCTGACACTTTATGCAATCTCTGTATTTACAAGAATCACATCAGATTAGAAATCAACTATTGCTACCACATCTGAGCTACAGCTACCGAATCCTCACATTCCAAAAATCAAAAGCATTTGCGCGGCCTTGTAGGTGGTGAATTGTTTTCCACCCAGCAGACTCTTTGTCACAGACGAAACGTTGCTAGACCATTGCTATTCTATCGCTATTTTTATGTCAGATGTTCGGGGGAACTATATTCCTTCATCCTACCAGTAAAAACCTTCACAAGTAGGAGCCGCTGTGCCACGTACACTGAGTTGAATCACTTTCATTGTCTTTGTATTCCATTGGTGAGGATATTCTACTCAGACAGCATCTTTTTCAGAACTGTTGCATTGTGAAACGGACTCCCAAGAAGATACTTCCCCGATCATTACAATCTTAACATCTTCAAGTCTAGGGTAAAGTGTTATCTACTCTAAATATCCGCATAATATGCACCTCTTACTCCTTACCATGCTACGCTCTTACAACAGTCTTTTGTAATCCTCTACCTGGAGTGGCTCTTATTATTAGTGACTTTTATTGGGTGACCATTAGTAAAAGAGAAGACAAAAGGTCATAATTTTCGCAGGGAAATGTGTATTTGTTCGGTTAGTGAACATTTAGTACTCACTCATAGGTGAATCTCTGGAGAACACTTTGAGCGGGTCTATTTAAATTCTATTAGAATCAATAGGTGTGAATTATGAAACCTTGTACTAGTAAGAAAATAGAGAGTTTAATAAACTGTGATAAGACGCTAGAGATTAACGGATTAAAAGAAAAATATTTATATTTTACCATAGACTTGTCAGTATTTTATGAAATCTTCTATTAGTTTGCAAACATTTCATATTTTTAATATTAAAATTTATTTACATGCGGGGTATTTTCCTCATCTTTGTTGCTATTATCGCAACATTTAAGCCGTTATGCAATCACACCTTCATCCGGTGCTTTCCACTATTGGCAATCTTCAGAGAACCCGGATCGACTGGACAATATAACCGAGTGGATTAAAGCGTTGGTTCGTAAATTTGGTGACATAGTGAGATCAATCCCTGGGCGGGGCTTAGACCCAGTGGAAACAGTAGGAGCTGTAACTAAGCAGTACTAAATAAAAGTTAAATACTACATATCTCTAGACACGTGCAGCAGAACGAGAACAATCTACTCTACTCTAGATTAAAAAAACGTTCAATTCGAAATTCCCTGAGGTCGACAAGTGACTGATGAAGGCCAGAATATACAAAGGCCGAAACGCTGTGATAAGAGAAACAGGGCGTTTACCAAAGCTCTTAGCTTGTCGGACTTTCTGGTTTCGGATGGAGAGGGGATCAGACGAGGCTATGCCTACGGGAAGAGCCTGGGAAGGTAGACAGCCATCTGACCCCATGTATGCGTTGTCTACGGGAAATTTTTTCCAGGACGTATGCACTCGGAATAACCCCACGTTAAAAACAGGTCTTCTGCCAAATCCGGCCTTGTAGGGAGGTAAATACCGAGAAGCAAAGATTAGGACAATATCCTGCATGTAAATAATGTAAATAATGATAACTCTTCATCCTCAAAATTAAAACAGAATTTAGTAGAATTCATCTAAACTTCATTTTTTCAAGTTTATTTTTTATAATATTAGACTTTATGTAAACTTAATGCAAACTGTGTGGCAATTATTTTAAAACGATAACAGACTTGACGAATACAAAATAAAATAATAACAACCTAAAACTTGAAGCAGAAATGTAAACTATAGACTGTAATAAACATTATGAAAATTACATTGGTGAGACTTCGAGAAATTTAAAAAAAAGATTTTCCTCACACATAGGAAAAAATATCTTTTAGAAAACAACACAGTGAATTAGTCGTTAATCGTGATGATCTGACGATAATTTCGGCTTATAAAGGTCTGCTTTAATTTCAAAATAGTAAGTAATTTACTAAAAAGAAATGAATAGATAGCGCACTGATTTCGGAGTCCTCCGTGATTCTTAAACTCTTACATTTCACCTTTCTTAACAAATTTTCTGTTGTCACAGTGTGGTATATTTAAAATGGCAGTAATAAAAATAGAAGCGTTGGGAAACTGAATGAAAATTTTAAATTTTGCATCACTTCATCTTACGCGTTGTCATTTGAATCCCCCTTACGTATATATAATTACATCAATAAGAGTTTTATTTTAGTCTCAGGAAGTCATTTCAGAGGAGGGATTATTTTCTCGTTTCGTCATTCAATTACATAAAAAGTTTTAAAAAAATTATTGAAATTACTAAAGTTTCTCGAAATAATTGCTTTAACAATGTTTTCTTATGGATCAAATTTGGTATTTATTTGAGTTTTAATGAAAATAAACCGATTTTCTAATCAAATTTCACAAATCTTGGATATGTCGATATTGGCAGCGTTGTAATTAATATTCTTTTAAATTATACATTTTCAGGCTGTTTTACAATAAGAAAAATGTAAACTTATTTTAATTTATAGCAGTAACATGTAAAGACATACGGAAAAGACATTCGAAGCTGATGAGTTTGTTTGTAGTCAGTAATGCAATAACTATATTATACTGAAAAATTCCGTCAAGATTTAATATTAAATAAATACATGCATCATGTGTGATCACTGGAAATTGGCGAGACAATGTCTGCCCAATGCGTGTCAAATCTTTGATGAAGCAAATATACTCTCAACTTTGTTT